TGCTGAATGCTTCTGCACTGCTAGTGCTAGGTAGGTGCCCGAAGAAGATGAATGTCGGCCATTGTGCTAGCCAGCTTGCACACGGCGGCGACTGCAGCGTCAACACCCTCGCACTGTTTCCTCCGCCGAACGTCATTACCACCCGCGTGAATAACATTCCGACGAAACCGCTGCTTGTGGGTTGGGTATTGTGAGCATGTTTAGTCCATATGAACCAGCCCGGACTCTGGGAGCACAGACTGGACACCAGTGAGTGCCCAGAGGCAAACTAAACATGGGGAGCTTGGCTTTTCCCAGGTTCATGCTGCTAAAATCTGAACAGTCTTCTGAAGATGTGGAGACAGGCCTCCTCTCTGACAATGTTTAAAAAACAGTTATAGACAGTTCTGTTTAACTGGGCATACAACTGAGGGTTTTATATTTCTATCTTTTCTTTTTAATGTTCTGTGATAATTTATATTTAATGCTTTCTTGTTTTGTTCCAGCGCTTTGATTGCCTTGGTGTATGATTGTGTTATATAAATAAACTTGCCTTGCCGTTGCCTTCTGTAAACTCACATTAAACATTTATGGAATTTATCTAATATTATGGACATTGGTCTCTGCCCCTATTGGACCGATGGCTCTGTTGTGTTTATTTTAATCTTTGCATTTCTTGAGTTTTGATTCTGTTTTGGGCGATTTCAACTGGTTTTGTATAAGTCCTCCGAGATATCGTCTGGTTGTGATTAGGGGCGATACAAAAATACATTGAATTGAACTGAATATTGTGTATGTTGTCCGATTTTCTTCACTGCAAATAGAGCGTTTAAAAAACGTCTTTATAAAATGTGTTTTGGTGACCAGGACTTCTCACTCCTGCTCTCTTGTTGCAGGGATCATGCACGGTCCCTGGCTGGCTGAGGCTCTGGTGAGGGCGTGGAGGTCTCTGCAGGAAGAGGAGGTGTGGGGGCGGTGCCTGAAGCCAGAGCGCAGCAGAGCCTCCAGGAGCTCTTCCACAAAGGTAAGTCATATGCACTGAACCTGGGCATGAAAGTTTAAATTTGTAAGCACAGTTCATACACATGATAGAAACCATCACACAGGTATTAAAATCAGAAATAATCACAGTACATTATAACGAGTGGAATAAAAATCCCCACCGTTGTGGCACAGATAACTGTTTTCAACACTGGATTTTGAGCATTGGCCAAGAAGAAGCTTGTCTCACATTTGCAGGAAGACTGTTATGTATTATAGCAGCATGAATCTTATAGCTGCCTCCTCATGTTAGTCCCTTACTCTCGGCATCAGCAGAGTGCCGGTCCTGGCTCCTCAGAGTCCCCGCAGGAGGTCCGGTCCGCTGTGCTCCTCAGAGTCCCAGCAGGAGTCCTGGTCCCCTTTGCTCCGCAGAGTCCCAGCAGGGAGTCCCCGGTCCCTGTGCTCCTCAGAGTCCCAGCAGTAGTCCGGTCCCTGTCTCCTCCGAGTCCAGCAGGAGATCCGGTTCCCTGTGCTTCGCTCCGAGTCCGCGCAGGAGTCCGGTACCTGTGCGCCTCGAGTCCCCAGCAGGAGTACCGTCCCCTGTGCTCCTCACGAGTCCCAGCAGGAGTCCGTTCCCTGTGCTCTCCGAGTCCCAGCAGAGTCCGCTCCCCTGTGCTCCTCCCGAGTCCAGCAGGGAGTCCGGTCCCTGTGCTCCTCCCGAGTCCCCAGCCGGAGTCCGGTCCCTGTGCTGCCTACTGTGTGCCCAGCAGAGTCCGTCCCTGTGCTCCTCCGAGTCCCAGCAGGGAGTCCGGTCCCCTGTGCTACCTCTCCGATCCTCAGCAGGAGTCCGGTCCCGTGCTCCTCCGATCCCAGCAGGAGTCCGGTCCCCTGTGGCTCCATCCGAGGCCCCAGCAGGAGGCCGTCCCTGTGCTCCTCCCGAGTCCCGAGCAGGAGTCCGGCCCTGTGCTCCTCCGAGTCCCAGGCATGAGTCCGGTCCCTGTTGTCGCTCCTCCGATCCCCAGCAGGAGGGTCCGGTCCGCGTGGCTCCTCCGGAGCCCAGCAGGAGTCCGGTCCCTGTGCTCCAGTCCGATTCCCAGCAGGAGTCCGTCCCTGTCACCTCCGAGTCCCAGCAGGAGTCCCGGTCCCTGTGCTCCTCCGAGTCCCAGCAGAGTATCACGGTCCACCTGTGCTCCTCCGAGTCCCAGCAGGAAGTACCGGTCCCGGTGCTTCCTCCGATCCCAGCAGGAGTCCGGGTCCCTGTGCTCCTTCCTCCGAGTCCCAGCAGGAGTTCCGGGGCCCTGTGCTCGCTCCGATTCCCAGCCAGGAGTCCGGTCCCTGGGCTCCTACGAGGTCCCAGCAGTAGTCCCGGTCCCTTTGCTCCCTGCCGAGTCCCCAGCAGGAGTCCGTCCCTGTGCGCATCCGAGTCCCCAGCAGGAGTCCGGTCCCTGTGCTCCTCCCGAGTCCCAGCAGGAGTCTCCCGGTCCCTGTGCTCCTCCGAGTCCAGCAGAGTCCGGTCCCCTGCCCCTGCCCGAGTCCCAGCAGGATCCCGGGGGGGATCCCCTGTGCTCCTACCGAGTCCCACAGAGTCCGTACTGTGCTCCTCCGAGTCCCAGCAGTAGTCCGGTCCCTGTGCTCCTCCGAGTCCCATCAGGAGTGCCGTCCCTGTGCACCTCCGAGTCCCAGCAGGAGTCCGGTCCCTGTGCCTCCGCCGAGTCCAGCAAGGAGTCCGGTCCTGTGCTCCTCCGAGTCCCACAGAGTCCGTCCCCAGTGCTCCTCCCGAGTCCTCAGCAGGAGTCCGGTCCCTGTGCCCTCCGAGTCCCTCCAGGGAGTCCGGTGCACTGTTCTCCTGCCTCCGAGTCCAGCATGAGTCCCCGGTCCCTGTGCTCCTTCCTCCGAGTCCCAGCAAGGGAGTCCGGTCCCTGTGCTCCTCCGAGTTGTCCCAGGCAGGAGTCCGGTCCCTGTGCTCTCTCCGAGTCCCAGCAGGAGTCCGTCCCCTGTGCTCCTCCGAGTCCCAGCAGGATCCGTCCTGTGCCCTCCGAGATCCCAGCAGGAGTCCGGTCCCTGTGCTCCTCCGAGTCCCAGCAGGAGTCTCGGTCCCTGTGCTCCTACCTGAGTCCCAGCAGAGTCCGGTCCCTGTGCGCTCCTCCTCCGAGTCCCAGCGAGAGGTCCGGTCCCTGTGCCCTCCGAAGTCCCAGCAGGAGTTCCGTCCCCTGTGCTCCTCCGAGTCCCAGCAGAGTCCGGTCCCTGTGCTCCTCCAGCCAGCAGGAGTCCGGCTCCCTGTGACATCACATCAGAGACATCAGCGACATCAGAGACCATCAGTGACATCAGAGACATCAGTGACATCAGAGACATCAGAGACATCAGAGACATCAGTGACATCAGTGACATCAGAGACATCAGAGACATCAGTGACATCAGAGACATCAGAGACATCAGAGACATCAGTGACATCAGAGACATCAGCGACATCAGAGACATCAGAGACATCAGTGACATCAGTGACATCAGAGACATCAGAGACATCAGTGACATCAGAGACATCAGAGACATCAGTGACATCAGAGACATCAGAGACATCAGTGACATCAGAGACATCAGAGACATCAGTGACATCAGTGACATCAGAGACATCAGAGACATCAGTGACATCAGAGACATCAGAGACATCAGAGACATCAGTGACATCAGAGACATCAGAGACATCAGTGACATCAGAGACATCAGAGACATCAGTGACATCAGAGACATCAGTGACATCAGTGACATCAGAGACATCAGAGACATCAGCGACATCAGAGACATCAGTGACATCAGAGACATCAGCGACATCAGAGACATCAGCGACATCAGAGACATCAGAGACATCAGCGACATCAGAGACATTAGAGACATCAGCGACATCAGCGACATCAGAGACATCAGAGACATCAGCGACATCAGCGGCATCAGCGACATCAGAGACATCAGTGACATCAGAGACATCAGAGACATCAGCGACATCAGAGACATCAGAGACATCAGTGACATCAGAGACATCAGAGACATCAGCGACATCAGAGACATCAGTGACATCAGAGACATCAGAGACATCAGAGACATCAGTGACATCAGAGACATCAGAGACATCAGAGACATCAGCGACATCAGAGACATCAGAGACATCAGAGACATCAGAGACATCAGTGACATCAGTGACATCAGTGACATCAGAGACATCAGAGACATCAGAGACATCAGTGACATCAGAGACATCAGCGACATCAGAGACATCAGAGACATCAGCGACATCAGCGACATCAGAGACATCAGAGACATCAGCGACATCAGAGACATCAGCGACATCAGCGACATCAGAGACATCAGAGACATCAGCGACATCAGCGACATCAGAGACATCAGAGACATCAGCGACATCAGAGACATCAGTGACATCAGTGACATCAGAGACATCAGAGAAGAGTGGGCTCATTCTACCGAGTCTAACAGGTTTAATTATTGGTCTTACCTAATATCGGCAATTGCATCTACATCATCATAAATCTCTTCAGTCTCTGGAAGAGGCGGGGGAACCACTGAAAACAACAGTGCATGTGTGATGAGTAAGAGTAAAAGTAAGAGTAACAGTAAGAGTAACAGTAAGTGTAAGAGCAACAGTAAGAGTAACAGTAAGAGTAACAGTAAGAGTAAGAGTAAGAGTAAGAGTAAGAGTAACAGTAACAGTAACCACAGTCTCTCCTATAGTGGCCAATCTGTATATGGAGAAACTGGAGGAACTCAGACTATAACTTCCGGGGACGCTCCACAGCGTGCGACTCGAGTAGCTACCTCGCTCAGGTGTTGTGTTGTTTTAGTGCAAGTTTTGGTGTGTGATTGGTGCGTCATCCAACTCTACGACAATGTGGATGTTTAAACTGGACTCCCTATTGCTGCTCTGTGGACTGTATTTTGTAATCAGTGCTTGCCACGAGTTTGGAAGTAAAGCAAGCTCGCACTGGCAAGATGCCCTCCCAAGGATTACCTTTAGCCGGGAGGTGCTCATGAGACTTCGACCGTCCGGGGGAAGTACTGTCCTGCCGCCGCCGAATATTCCTCTGGAGCTCCGCGTCGTGGTGACAAATCCGAGGCGCCGCAAAAGGGGCAGGAGAGGTGGAATACACCGGAGACTTAAACGCATGAGTCTACAGGACCGCCGCAAGTTGCCGGCTCTCCCCACGGTCTTGCTTGGAAATGTCCAGTCGATCCGAAACAAGTTGGACGAGTTGGAGGCCTGGACCACGCTCAGGCAGGAGATCAAAAATGCCTGCCTCCTTGTCTTCACGGAATCCTGGCTCAGTGAATCAGACCGGGATGAGGACCTGACGCTCACGGGGTTCGGGGCCCCGCTGAGGCTGGACCGTAACAAGGAAGTGACCAACAAACAGCGCGGCGGCGGTGTTTGTTGCTACGTGAACAAGAGGTACTGTAAAACCGTCGTTGTCCGAGAGAGGATTTGTACCCCAGACATTGAACTGTTGTCTATATCTCTCCGTCCTTTTTATTTGCAGCGTGAGTTCCAACAGCTGTTTTTCACAATCTGTTACATTCATCCGCGCGCTGATGCTGTCGCCGCGGTACAGCTGATTGGTGACGTCACGCACCGGCTTGACGCTATTTGCCCGGATGCACCAAAGTTCATCCTGGGTGATTTTAACCATTGTCGTCTTGATAAGACTTTTAAAACTTATGAACAGTATGTCACCTGTGCCACAACACAGAGGAATACGACTCTGGATTTGTGCTTTGGTTCAGTGAGTGGTGCATATAAATCGCTGCCACTTCCTCCTCTGGGATCGTCATACCATAACTGTGTGTACCTCATGCCCCGCTACACTCCTGCTTTTAAGAGACTACCCCGGGTGGAGAAATCAGTGAAGTGCTGGTCAGAGGACAGCATCTCAGCACTTCAAGCTTGTTTTGAGTGTACGGATTGGAACTGCTTTTTTAACTCATGTGAGGACATTAATGAGTTATGTGACACTGTCTCTTCATATGTCACTTTCTGTGTTGACTCTGTTGTCCCATCAAAGACTGTTGTTGTTTATCCAAATAACAGACCATGGGTTAACAAAGAGCTTAAATCAATCATTAACAAAAAGAAAGTGGTCTACTCTTCTGGTGGGAACTCCCTGGAGAAGAAAACGGTCTCTAGGGAAGTACGAGATGGGATCAGGAAGGCTAAACTGAAATATAAGGACAAAATAGAAGAAAAGTACAGCACTGGTGACCTTAGAGCGGCCTGGCAAGGCATCAAATGCATGGCTTCCATTAATCACCGAAAGGGGGACAATAAACCTATTCGTGTAAAAGGAGTGCCAGACTCTGATCTCCCAACTGTTTTTAATTCCTTTTTTAGCCGGTTTGAGAGGGCAGACCTTTTGGATAAGGTTTCTGCTTGTAAACAGTCTCTCGAGTCAAGTGGGGGAATTGTGATCGCACAAGACCAGGTGACTGCCTTACTTAGAAAAGTGAAGGTGGGGAAAGCCAGGGGTCCTGATGCCATCTGTGGGCGTACCCTGCACCACTGTGCCACCCAGCTTAGTGGTGTTTTTAGCAGACTGTTTCAAAGTTGTGTAGATCATGGTCAGATTCCAGTTTTGTGGAAAACTTCAACTATAATCCCAATTCCTAAATCAAGTACTTCAAAGGAATTGAGTGATTTCAGACCGGTCGCACTTACATCACTTGTGATGAAAACTTTTGAAAAAATTTTAAAGTCTGAGATTTTATGTTTAACTGAGGGAAAACTCGACCCACTTCAATTTGCCTACCAGCAAAACAAGGGGGTGGAGGACGCCACACTCTTTCTACTGAACACAGTGTACAAGCACCTTGACAAAACTGGGGCTCATGTAAGACTTTTGTTCGCCGACTTTTCTTCTGCGTTTAATAAGATGCAGCCCCACATCCTGATTGAAAGACTTGCCGCTGTTTTTAATTTGCCTGACCAGCTTCTTTTATTGATTTTAAATTTTCTCACGGACAGGATCCAGCGAGTGCTTGTGAATGGTCAGATGTGCCCAGTGTCCATCTCTAACACAGGATCCCCTCAGGGGTGTGTTATGTCCCCTCTGCTGTTCATACTGTACACAGACAGTTGCCGGGTCACTCAGAAGAACAGATCCCTGGTTAAGTTTTCAGACGACACAGTCCTGGTGTCCTTACTCTCAGGATCTGAAATGAACCACGGCCCTGCATTGACAGAGTTTGTCCAATGGTGCAACAGCAACTACTTGGATCTAAACGTCTCAAAAACCAAGGACATGATTATTGACTTTAGACGCTCCACAGCGCCCTCTCTGGGCAGCAGTGTCATCCATGGTGAAGGGGTGGAAGTGGTGGAGAAGTACAAATATCTTGGTTCTTGGATGGACAACAAGTTGCGGTTTGACGCGAATACAGACTCCGTTTTTAAACGCGGTCAGCAGAGAATCTATCTTCTAAGGAAGCTGAACTCTTTTAATGTAAATAAAAGGATTCTCTGCAACTTTTACTGCTGTTTTATAGAGAGCCTATTGACATTTTCATTTGTTTGCTGGTTCAAGGGTTTGTCTGTGAAAGACAAAAACAAACTGCAAAACATTATCAAAATCTGCTCTAAAATTATTGGTGTTAAACAAAGAGACCTACAGTCTCTTTGGGAGGAGCAGGCGCTAAAGAAAGCTAAATGTATCTTGGGTCAGCCTCTCCATGCTCTGTCCTCTGAGTTTTCGCTCATGCCTTCTGGACGTCGTTTTTATGTACCCTTTCGGAAAACAAATCGTTTCGCCAACTCTTTTGTCCCCTCTGTCACTAAACTGTTGAATTCTGAAGGGAGTGTGTTTATTAAGTGACACCGACCTTTGTGAAATGTGTTGTTTTCTTTTAATTATTTGCTATTGTCTGTACTGTTGGAAGTGACACACAGTGAGTGTTGTGATGTGTTTGTACAACATCTGTCGGAGGTTGCAGCAAATCAATTGCCCTTAAGGGATCAATAAAGTTTTCTGAATCTGAATCTGAAGCCCTGGGCTCTTACCAAGGGACAGCGCCAAGCCATTGGTTTGATATGTAGACAATACATGGGTTAAGTTAAAGAAACAGGAAGTGGAACCATTTTCAGCACACATTAATTCGGTGGACCCTTTTATAAATTTCACTCGCGAGGATGCTAAGGAGAGTGAACTGGCCTTTCTAGATTGTAAGGTCATCATACTGGAGAACGGACAATTAGAGACTGAGGTCTTCAGAAAGTCCACTCACACTGACCAGTACTTGGCCTTTGATTCAAATCATCCGCTACAACACAAACTCTGGGTCATTAGAACGCTTCAACACCGAGCCCACCAGGTCCCCACAAGCTCGGAAGGAAAGAACAGAGAAACCAAACATGTTCAGAGAGCACTTTCCAGATGTGGCTACCCCAAGTGGTCTTTTACTAAAGCCCAAAGGACGAGAAAGGCCAGAGACACCGTCCAACAGACAGAAGAAAGTAGGAGGAGAGGGGTGTCCTTACCGTATGTGGCGGGAGTTTCAGAGAAACTACAAAGAATCTTTAGGCAACACAAAATCCCTGTGTATTTCAAACCTTTCAACACGTTAAGACAGAAATTAGTGCATCCCAAAGACAACACACCCAGACACAAACAGAGCAATGTGGTGTATTCAATTAAATGTAGTGAAGAGGAGTGCACTGACCACTATATTGGAGAAACCAAACAAACTCAACAGAAACAACTTTACCAACATCGTAGAGAAAACTCTAGTGGGCCACAGTCGGCTGTTCATCTCCACCTCAAGGCCTCCAACCACACGGTGGATGACACAGAGGTTAAAATTCTGGCTCGGGAGAAGAATTGGTTTGAGAGAGGGGTGAAAGAAGCCATTTTTGTGAGGAAACAAAAACCTCCTCTTAACAGAGGAGGAGGGTTAAGATTTGTTTTGCCTCGCATCTATGACGACATCCTAAAAACAACGCCCTAACTTGGGACAAGGTCAGTGACATGCTAATGAGTTAGGGTCGTTAGACCTGCACTCCACTTGAGCATCCCAGCAGACAATAGGTCTGTGACATGCTAATGAGTTAGGGTCGTTAGACCTGCACCTGAGCGTCCCACAGACAATAGGTCAGTGACATGCTAATGAGTTAGGGTCGTTAGCCTCAGCAGGGTCGTTAGACCTGCTCCCTTCTACATCAGACCTTAGATTGTTTATGAGTTAGTATCAGGATTAGGGTGTGGCTAACCACACCCATAGGTTATAAATCTCCAACGCGCGGTCCGAGAATTCATTCCCTGAAGAAGTCCGCTAGTTTGAGGACGAAACGTCGGGAAAACTTGCTAAGAAGTACAGATGATGGGTGAGAAACCTTCCTTTGCATATATATATATTAAGGTTAACAGTCCATTTTTAAAACACTCACATTTGTGTCTGATTTGGGGTTTTTAAAAGCTGTGAGTCCATTCTCAAAAGTCTAACAACTAAAGGCTTTATCCTTCTCACTCTGTGAGTATTTGCTCCACATTGAACAAGTAAAAGGATTTTTTAATGATAATTTTCCGAGTTTTACCTGGATAAAAAAATAAGATATTATAGCTATATAATATTATAGCTTACACTCTGGCTCTTTTGTTGTACTGCAAAACATAAAAAGAAGATATTGTGATATTTATCCTTGACTTGACAATCAGTGTAAAAACTGTGATTACGTTTACCTCGTTTCAGGAGCAGCCATTTCAATATCGTCGTAGATGTCAGGTTCGTAGGCCTGCTCAGCTGCTTGTTGCTTTAAAACGTTAATGTCAATTTTCACAGATGTTATCTTCACATAACCAACTAAAAGAAGAAGTTTTAAGTCTTTAGTTATGAAATCTTATCTTTAACTGGCTTTGCATGTTACACACTTGAACCATCTTGAGATCGGCCCAACCACTTTCCCTCCGGGTTTCCGTGGATGCGGATGATGTCCAGTGAGTCTCCCTGCTTCAGGCTCAGGTCGGTCTTACTGCCTTTAATGTCCACAACAGCCTTTCCCTTTTGAAGAACATCCAGAGAACCCACCAACTAGAAAGAGTGGATGTTTAGCCACAATAATTCATAATGTATTCAAACTGAAATTAGCACCAGAAAAGGAGAGAGTACAAATATTATCGCACTTTAAACTTTTTCCTGGCTTCTTGTTCTTTCTTCTCTCTGTCTTTCTGTTCCTTTTTTCCAGCTTCTACTTGTTTTTTTCCTTCCTTGTCGTCTTTTACTTTCCTTGTTTCTTGTTGTGGTTCAGCAGCTTCCCTTCACAAAAAGTACTCATTATTGGTTTGTGTTGTTGAGTCGTCAAACAGCCACAAAGGGAAGCACAGACACACTGGGCCTCATTTATGACACTTGCCCAGAAAAGGGTGTACATTTGGGATTTAAGAACGTGTGAGATCCGCCCAGATCCGAGCATAAGCACCTGCCGCTGTTGATTAAAGCCACTCTGAAAATGACCGTATTTATGAAAGTCACGCCTTTAAATATGCAGCAACCGCCTGTTTCACGCCCCGTTTTTATGACAATTGAGAGGAAGACAGCCAAGACATTTTGTTTCACAGAGCAGGAGATTGAGACCACTATGAACGAAGTGGAAAAAAATAAAGTCTTCATTTTTGGAAGCCTCAAAAGTGGCATCAAGGGGACTCAAAAACAGTATGGAAAGAGATTACAACATCTGTAATCAGCGTAGGGCCTGTGAAAATGATCTATTATTCATGTGATTATTATTCTAAAATGGTTGAATGAGAGCCTGTCTGAGCTGTACAGGCCGAAGGCGGTGCTGGGCATGGTCTCTCATGTTGTGGAAGACCGAGCCAGGGTCACATGGCACACTTGTACCAGGATGTTCCAGAGCCATCTTCCTCTGATCAGACACGGCGGCGTGTCTTTGCTTGGACCCGCATGAACCAACTGCCGTTGCCACTGATTGTACACATACAACAATCCACACATAACACAAACTATCGGCATAGCCCAAACTTAACTTTGGAAAATTGCATATTTGTAACGAGAGTGGGAATATGTTTATAGTTGCCCAAATCTTGAATTTCATGCATGTTATTTGCGTGTTGAGATGAAGGTTGAGATGGGTGTAACATGCAGACTCGGCGTATGTTCTGTACCGTAGCCTCATTTACACCCTGATTTGGCCAAAGGATCATAAATGAGGGCCACTAAGAGGTAACCTAGGGCTAAATTCTGAAATAAGGGGCCTGTGTTTTAAATCATAGCTAAGCATAAATATTTTAAATACTTTCTTACCATCTCTCATCCAGGTATTCATACATTTCACCATCCTCGTCATCATTATCTTTCTCCTGTTTTAAATATAAATGTACATTAATACAAAACTACCACACTTGAATTGGTAATCATTTTAATGGCCACATCTCACCTTTGACACCTGGTTTGGATGAACTGAAAAGTAATTATAACGTTTTGTGTGAGTACAGGTGTATTATGACAACTGGTGAACACTTTATGTACTGCTTTTTCTTGGGCACTGACAGACGCCTCATCAGCCCTTCTCACCACCATCATTCACACACACTCCAGAGGCACACTACACAATGTGGGTTAAGTGTCTTGCCCAGACTGTTGGAATACACAAACCTGGGGGCAGAGGTGGAGGTGCGCTGCTCAGTCCATCAACATCGTCATAAAGCTCTTCATTTTCATTTCTGGACCAACACAAGACTGAACTTAATCATTTCAATAAGAAATGTAAGGTACTATATGTGTATGTAAATTTGAATGTGTGTACTCTATGTATATTTAAATATACAACACAATGCACCTATAGTACATGTATCTACTATTACACATATGCATAAAGTACACAGATGTGCACAGATGATTGAGCAGTAGGGCTTTCATAAGTAACCAGACAGATGTGTCCTATATGGCATGACCAGCTCCAGCAGCTTTTCTTTTCCTAATCATTCTCTTCTCTACAACTTTATCCCTAACCTCTCTGGGGGTTCATTGGTTCTCAACAGCTGCATTTAGCAACCCATCCATCTATCCATTTTCTTCCCCTCAATTCATTTCTAGGTTGGGGGGTGTCAGTCAGAGTTGCAGCCAGTTCACAGAGCACCAGCCCCTCACTGATCCTCCTGCAGGTGCTGAGGCCACAGGAGTCTTGATTTTCCAGCGGGAGCTTCAGGCGAAATGGGGTTAAGTGTCTTGCCCAAGGACACAACAACAGCAGACATCAGTGGGAGTGGTGAACTAGGTCTTACGGTGGGCTCAAACCCACAACCTTCAGGCCCAAAGGCCAATGCTCTACCAACTGAGCCGTCGTATGTCTGTATGTATATACATATATATATGTATATATATATATATATATATATACATTTTGCTTTGTGTGTCTCATACTTTATATTTTAGTAAAACTTACAAAAAATAAAATCTTTATGTTTGTGATTGTAACATGCAAGAATGTGTAAGAATTCAACTGTGCAGTGACTCACCTGGCTCCAGGGTGTCGTGGGGGCAAACTCGGAACAGGAGGGGGTGCAAGGGTGACATGGTTGCTATGGTTACTAGAGGGTGGAGGTGAGGCTATACTCTTCTCTGGATCTTTAACAGCAGACAGAAAAAAGTAGATTACACATACTGGTGTTAAAGCAGAAGAGGAGAAAAGTAGAAACGTATTTTAGCATTGAGTTTATATTAAAATAATATAATATTTATTTCGGGGCGACAGTAGCTCAGTTTGTAGAGCATTGGCCTTAAGGCCAGAAGGTCGTGGGTTCAATTCCCACCTCTGCACCTTCTCCACCAACTCCCACTGATGACTGCTGTCGTTGTGTCCTTGGGCAAGACACTTAACCCCACTTTGCCCAAAGCCCCCACTGAAAGATCAAGGCTATGCTCACACTCAGAGAGCAGCCGTCCTCCTGTGGACTCACCACCTGCAGAGGGTCAGTGAGGGGCTGGTGCTATGAGACTTGGGTGGCATCTCTGACTGCCACCCCCCTGACCCAGAAATGGATTAAAGGGTAGAAAATGGATGGATGGATGAATAATATTTATTGATCCATATCAATTATAATATTTTTCCTCTCATTCATGAGAAATTCCTCTTTTGTCAAGGACCAGAAGTGATGCATGGTACAACACATTTAAAAAGTGGTTAACTATATTTGGACTCATTTGGTATCATCCGATGTTTTTTTTTTCAAATAACTGAATGTCATTGAGAAACAACTAATACATTTCTACTTTCTGCCCCAAAGCGTCATAGATTGTTTGAATGTCCTTGTCTTACTATAGATATGTGTCAGTGCATTTTCACACTTTTAAAAAGCTGTGGAAAGGAAATGCTCTTGATACCACAAAATGAGGAACCCAGTGCTGTCACAAGACCTCCCATCAGCAAAACTTCCAACTTCTATAAAAACAGCTATTTGTGAATATAAGAAAATGAAAGTTTTTGAGGAGCAAAAAGTACAGATGTTATTCAGGTTCAACTGCTGCATTCAACAACTGGAAATATTGTAAGAATATTTTACATGCAAGGGGCTGGACTACCAAACAAATGAACATGTATTGTATAATTTGATCAAAATGATGATATATTTTAGCACAGTGTGTTTACACATAGACATGTCTGATATAATAATATATCATTTTCCCCATGTTGAACTTTCTGTGTTTGATTTTATTTTTTATTTTGCCTTGAAAGATAGAAAAATACAGTGTTTGTATTTGTGTGCAAAAATAAACCATATGTTCGTGAAGGAAATGATAATTATTAATAATGTTAATTATAATCTACAAACCATTTCTTCATAAAGCAGAGTTTCAGGAACATCACACTTTTTATTTCAGATTGAAAGCACCAATATTCCCAGAGAAATCCCTGTGCACCATTTTGCGTGTTCGGCAAAAACACTATAACACTGTCGATGGATTCAAAGGGAGTAAGTAACTTTGAGATGTTACTTCTCAAAACAATAAGTCTGTTCCCGGTAACACAACATGTACAAAAATATACTCAAGTCAAGTTACAATGCCGTAAATTATAGTATGTTTTTTGTGTATATATATATATATATATATATATATTTATTTATTATATACATTTATCACACGCTCCTCACAGCAGCAGAACCATTGGTTTTAATGTCATTTCAAAACGTTCTATCGGTCATTATTTCTTGATAACTGACCTCTCAAAACAATAATGACTCTGACTGTAATTCATGTGTGTAGATTACTCCGCAAGTAGTTCCGGCCACTCCGGAGCTAGCCACGCTCAATAAACGCAAATACCAATCAATCAACACATTTAAATGTTAATCGGAGAATACATAATAAATATACATTCTTAACACACGTGCACAGAGGTTTTCAGAAGTATCTGTTAAGATTTTCATGACAACAACACTGTTTTAATGCGAGAAAAGGCGATCGCGAAAAACCCGGAAGTAGATACAGGACATTTTAGGAACATTTGCAGAGGATGGAATTATGGATTTAGGTTAAGTTTATGTTTGGGTCACTCACCGCTGATGTTCAGGATTCTGTGTTCAGTTTTCATGCAGTTCCAGAGAGTTCTAGTTTGGAAGTTGTTAGCCTAACTGTTTCTAGCATAGCCACAGGAAAGTCTTTGGGAACTATTTTATTTTCTGTTAATAAATAAACATTTCGGCATTCCTAAAAGTGGACTGAAGTTTATGTTGTGTGTTCTGTTGGTATAAAGCTGTATGATAAGCGGGATAACGTATATTACGCAGGTCATTATCGGAAAATAAGAACCGACAGCGAAGCAGACCCGACGCGCAGCGTCCCTGAGACTCTGTTTATTGCAGAGGTGTTTTTATTGCGTGCTCAAGCAGACAATGGTCCTGTGCCCATGTGTATGGTTCGCGCTGGATACATTATGACCACGTTATTGCTACTCGCGCGCTCACAGGCCGCTGGACAATTTTTTATAAGTGTATGTGATCTTACCAGTGGCTGGTGAAAGGAGTTTTCTCTTATAGACTTGAAGGTCAACGTGTGGCGGCCGGTTCGGTTTGGCTGGAGCTGGGCCCAGGGCTAAGCTGTTGAGGAGCGGGTTCCTCTTTGGTGCTGAGGGGTCTTTCATCATCGCGGATGGCTTCTTCAGACTTGGTTTCTTACTGGCGAGAGGTTTGGGAGGGGGAACAGAGTGTGAGGGCTGCAGAGGTGGGCTGACTGCACTTGGCTTCATCTTCATCTTGTTGTCCTGTTCGGCTGGTTCTTTGTTGAAGAGAGTTTGTGCAGCACTAATCTTCGATGTTGACATGTCAGCTGGGACTGTAGGAGGTGCGGGCTTGTTTACAGAGTCTATGTTCAAGGCATTTGAATCCATTTGCTCTTGAAGTTTGAACAAATTGTTGTTTGGTTTGAGCAGTGCAGGGGGCACCGTGCGGGTGGGGGGCTGTGTAGAAGATGTGTCCATTTTGACCCAAGGTGGTTTGGGGGCGTTCACAGGTTTAGGTAAGGTTGGTTTAGGATCTGCCCCGGAAGTGTTAAACACAGACTTGTTCACAGGTGATTTAGGCTCAGGCAACTGGGTAAATGAATGTTTTGATTGTAACTTATGTTTGAAGGAAGTGTCTTCCTGGGAGTTTGCAAACATGCTTGCCAACGCTTTGGTTTTGCTTAGTTCTTGGCCTGCTGAGTCACTAATGAAAGTTGGAGAGTTTTTTACGAAAGAAGGTTTTGGTGGAACAGTTGCACCTCTTTCCGGCACAGGCCTCTTTGTGTGCAGTGCCTGCCCTGGCAACGTGGCTTTGGGACGACCTGTGGAAGTTGAGTTTTCCATGCTTGATCCATTGGCCTGAAAACAAGCCATGATAGCCTTCAGATCAGATTTGTTTTCCTGAAATAAATAAGCAATGGGATTAGTGAGCTTGTTATAATCAGCCATGCAGCAGCCACACCTATTACCGGTTTAATGAAAGTAGGAAGTGGTGATAAGAGTGTGACTTCTGTGGCTGTGTGTAAACAGCATGTGTTAAAGCAGAATTATAATGCTTTATTTTTGGCCATTAAAAAGATAATCAATGAGATTGACAAATATTTTTCACTTTGTCATTGCATGCATTCATCCTCATTCACAGCATGCTGCACTGCCCTTTGGTGCCACCATGGTTTGGATTTGGATTTCAGCCAGAGGGACCTACAGCATAAACTCCAGCATAAACTAAAGAAAATGTAATATCACAAGGAAAAAACAAGAACGTGGGTCCAAACAACACGCTAACTCTTCCCACCATTATTCATGTAAACAGAGAAAAGAAACAAAGCAAATCAGTTGCAACACGCGCTTCTCAAAATATCCGTGTTGTTGTAATTTAGTAAAACCTGGCCATTTCATATGTTAAAGAAAAACATGGAGCAGTTCTGCAAAATGCTTGGTTGAGTGCAACTCTCACACCTTTCTCCCATATCACACAACTTCATAAAGACTTTTACTGATGTGAGATTTTAAAACTAAATAAAGAAATACAAAATATACAAAATATCTGGCAACAATGATAGAGTGTAGCCTTGTGGTCAAAGCAAAGAGGAACAAGTGATGTATAAGGTTTCCAATGCAATCAATATTAATAAAAAAAAAACAACATTAACAACAGCTTCGTTTTTTAAGGATAACTATCTAGATTGGAAATGCTGTGTTTTTTGTACTCACCATAATGATGAAGCAGGGGCTGTAGTTCAGGCTCTAGCTCCAGCAAAAACCGTTGAACTTTACTGTCTGTTTTAGTTCAGTGTCCAAGTAGAAAAACCCTTCAAAGGACAATAAAACATCTTCAGCATTTACACCTCTGGGTTCAGTCTCTGATGAAATGCACACGAGAGCTCAGAACAACACACAACTCACCACAACTTACTTCCTCTATTAGTGTTCTGTGCAGCTAGGAGAGTGTGCGTGTGTGTGTGCATAAGTGCGTGTGTGTATGTGTGTGTGCGTGTGTGTGTGTGTGCATAAGTGCGTGTATGTGTGTGTGTGTGTGTATGTGTGTGTGCGTGTGTGTGTGCATAAGTGCGTGTGTGTGCATAAGTGCGTGTGTGTGTGTGTGTGTATGTGTGTGTGCATAAGTGGGCGTGTGTGTGTGTGTGTGTGTCTATGCGCCGTTATCTCTGGGTTTCGATCACCTGGATTTGCCTATTCCAAGCAAACACCATGTTGTTTCCTTCTTGTTAGAGAGAAAATTAGGTCCAGAGCTTTTGTTTTTAGTTCTTCTCTAGTATTATCTGCCATGAAATGTTGTGGAAAAGTAAGAACAATATTTTTAAAAATGGAAAAAATCGTGAAGCCAAACCATTTGTACATTCCATGATCAAATCCCACAATGCAAGAGGGAAATAAGGCATTATGTCACAAACCATTTTCAGCAGGTCCCAAAAAGATTTTTTTTTTTTGTGTCCAGACGAGTTTACTGCATTCTTGGTTTTATTTTCATTGACATTATATTACCAGGATAGACCAATGGGGGCGGACAATTACCCAATGCTTTTGTATGGCATATTTACAGGATGCTCCAAAAGTCGGCTCTTGGCCCAATGCTATGTTCCAGATGATTGTCAACGCTGAGGGGAGTGTGTTTATTTGGACCCGTCCAGTTTAGCTGCTGTGAACTCCAGAAGGCACTCGTCAAATGAATGTGGCTCAAGCAAACGCATGCACAAATGTGTTTTTTCACATTTTCCTGCCCCCGACCACATTTTGAAAAAGCCCCATATAAGGCAGAAGTGACGGCACATTAGTTTGAACAGCAGAGATAGGTGTGACTTTGTCGATATTTAAAGTCTATGGGAGTTTCGAGGGAAATCCTGGTCTGAGTCTGAGCCTATGCAAATGTTTTTAGAGGTGGGGCTGATACGGAGGGAACGTGTAAACTCCACATAGGCTTCACACATGCCACAGGAGGCAACTGGCAAGATCCACCAATCTTGCATTGGTGTCAGCCTTCATAAAGTTAAACTTGATCCATATCATTAAGAATTTAGGGTTCATAATATCATTATAAGCCAATGCATGTGCATCTCACTCAGATCAGTAATATTTCTGATTGTTTAGATTACTCGTAGTTAGATTAGATCGCGTTGAAGATGCTTGATAAAGTTATCTAGTTCTTCTGCATATTGTGTGTTTGGTTTACTCACTCAGCACCTGAATAAGTTCCAACATGCCTGCCATGAAGCAAAACTGTTGAACTTTATTGTCTGCATTAGTTCAGTCTCCAGGTACGCATGTGACCACTACTCACTTCCTTTATTCATGTTGTGTGCAGCCAGGAGAGGCGTGTGCATGTGTATTGGCAAGTGTTCAAACAAGTGTGTGTGTGCATAAGTGTGTGTGTGTGTGTGCACATCTGCATGTGTATGCATGTGCGTATGTATTTTAAGTTAGGTATCTGGATTTGTCTATTCCAAGCAAACACCAGGTAGTTTCCTTATTATCCACTCAGCCACCGGGCGGCACGGTGGCTGAGTGGATAGCACTCTCGCCGCTCAGCAAGAAGGTCCTGGGTTCGAATCCCGGTCGGACCAGGCCCTTTCTGAGTGGAGTTTGCATGTTCTCCCCGTGTCTGCGTAGGTTTCCTCCGGGTACTCCGGTTTCCCCTACCACTAAAAATATGTCCAATAGGTCTGGCATGCGCCTCCTGTACTGGCCCCGCTCCCATCTCTGTGTGGAGTGAGAGACAAGTGCCCAAAAAAATAACCATTGTAAACCGCTTTGTGACCCTGGTCTGTGAAAGGCGGTATATAAATAAACATTACTTACTTACTTATTGTTAGAGAAGAAAATAAGTCAGAAGCTTTTCTTTTTCTCTCTTCTTTAATATCATCCTCAATATATTGCCGTGGAAACTAAATAATAATAATATTTTGTATCCAGTAAAAAGTGAAATAAAATACCACAATGCAAGAGGGAAATAAGGCACCATACAACAGAAGGAAAAAAACAAGTTCAGATGTTGAAAGGATGTCCTGGTCTGAGAGGTGAAGAGAATATGTACATCTTTTTAGTGGTGGGGCTGAAGGTGCTTTCACACCGCCAACGCTGGAACGCTGACGCCTCGGGCACCAGACGCACATTCTCTAATTTTCAGACGCAGGGGTCTTCACACCAGAACTCCAGGGCGCGCACCACAAGTGGCGGAAGTAGCGGACGGACTTTGATGCCAACAGAGTTAAGCTGGCGGCTTTTTGTGTGAAGTTCTTCTTTAATAATGCAGCTCTGCAGCGTCTCTGTGTCCAGGGACTTTATATAACACCCCCTCCATTGACCACATCCCCCCTGTCCTCCAACAGCTCCACTGCCTCCCCCTCTCTCCCCCATCACTCACTGTATCCAATACAAAATCCTGCTCCTCACATTCAAAGCCATCCACAACCTTGCTCCTCCAAACCTGACTGACCTCCTCCAGAGCTCCACACCTGCCGCTCCCTCCGCTCCTCCTCCTCTCTCCTGCTCCTGGTCCCTCCTCCTCGGCACCATGGGGAGTAGAGCCTTCAGCTGCTCTGCTCCCCAGCTCTGGAACACTCTCCCCCCTGACCTCCGTAACACCGACTCACTCACACTCTTCAAATCCACCTCAGAACTCATCTGTTTAGACCTAATCCTACTCACTGACATAACCACACTCTCCTCTGTGCATGATGCTTTTAACTTTGTCTTTTAACTGTTTTTAAAATGCACTTTTTTACTTGTATGTAAGGCGACCTTGAGTGTCAATGTATTATTATTATACTATTATTATAACAGCAGTATGTGTTCACGGAGGTACTCCATACGTTTATTTTATAATGAAATGGTACTTCCGCATCGGTGAACACGCTCGAAGCAGTTGGATAAAGTCACAGGAGCATGAAAAAGCACATGTTAACAAGCACTATGTCCCCCATTGTCAACCCTGGTTTAGTCCTGGTTTAGTCCTGGTTTAGTCCTGGTTTAGTCCTGGTTTAGTCCTGGTGTAGCTCCTGTTTTGGCTGTTTACAGTATGCTCAGTCTGCTCGCTCAGACCGCTAATGTCCCCGTGACCACTTGGCGGCTCTCTGATTGGTCGCTGCACAAACGTCCCGAGGAAACGCTTAGCAATATTTATCTCCTGCATGAGTCGGTTTTCCGCTCCTGCGCCTCCCGAGACCCACATGCAGTTCGACGCTCGATTAAATGGAGGGAACATTTAAACTCCACATAGAAAGGCACCACGTGAGGCAAACGGCAAGATCCACCAATCTAATGTTGGTGGATCTTCATAAAGTCTAATTTGATCTATATCATTAAAGTAGCAGTATGTAATATTTTCACGTCAAGTCATCATTAAATGGACCCAATATTTTAAAAGACATTATTAAATCATCCTCTTTTCAAATACATAGCAGTAGTTCAGCCGAGATATTAGAATACCAAAATTAATTTTACGACCCGTAAAAGTTGTTATTGTCATGATTTGGATGTCCCACCCTCTGCTGTTTCACCAATCAGGAAGTGTGGGGTCCGGGTTGCCAGAACTCCTCGCGGCTAATCTCACTGGTGAAATAACATGTGTCTGCAGAACTAAAAAAGGTCTTGTTTTATGTTATTCTCAAATGATTAATGACAAAACAAAGACTGAAACGAGGGTTTATATCGGGACGCCTTTGAAAAATTGAGACAGCTGCAAAACTTGCCGCTTTGAGTGCGTTTTTCATTAAACAAGCGGCCATTGATAAAAATAATTGTTGTTTGCACGGTGGTCTAATGGTTAAGTCACAGCGTTATCTCGCCGTGACCCGGGATCGAATTCAGGATGAACCTCTTTTCATGCTATTACATTTTATGACGGTAAAAAACAAAAATCAAGAAAAAAAATTCAGATTATAGCTTAATTGTAAAAAGAATCATTAGAGACCACATGTACCCAATTAAAATAATGTTAGTCTCTTTTTGATGTGGGACTTACAGTGCCTTGCGAAAGTATTCGGCCCCCTTGAACCTTTCAACATTTTGCCACATTTCAGGCTTCAAACATAAAGATATAAAATTTTGATTTTTTGTCATGAATCAACAACAAGTGGGACACAATCGTGAAGTGGAATGAAATTTATTGGATAATATAAACTTTTTTAACAAATAAAAAACTGAAAAGTTGGGCGTGCAATATTATTGGGCCCCTTTACTTTCAGTGCAGCAAACTCAGTCCAGAAGTTCAGTGAGGATCTTTGAATGATCCAATGTTGTCCTAAATGACTGATGATGATAAATAGAATGTACCTGTGTGTAATCAAGTCTCCGTATAAATGCACCTGCTCTTTGATAGTCTCAGGGTTCTGTTTAAAGCACAGAGAGAACCATGAAGACAAAGGAACACACCAGGCAGGTCCGAGATACTGTTGTGGAGAAGTTTAAAGCCGGATTTGGATACAAAAAGATTTCCCAAGCTTTAAACATCTCAAGGAGCACTGTGCAAGCAATTATATTGAAATGGAAGGAGTATCAGACCACTGCAAATCTACCAAGACCCGGCCGTCCCTCCAAACTTTCATCTCAAACAAGGAGAAGACTGATCAGAGATGCAGCCAAGAGGCCCATGATCACTCTGGATGAACTGCAGATAACTACAGCTGAGGTGGGGATGGTGTGTTCAGGGTGATGAGCTGTGTTGCTTTTACGCCAAACATATTGTTTTGCATTGTGGCCAAAAAGTTCGATTTTGGTTTCATCTGACCAGAGCACCTTCTTCCACATGTTTGGTGTGTCTCCCAGGTGGCTTGTGGCAAACTTTAAACCAGACTTTTTATGGATATCTTTGAGAAATGGCTTTCTTCTTGCCACTCTTCCATAAAGGCCAGATTTGTGCAGTGCACGACTGATTGTTGTCCTATGGACAGACTCTCCCACCTCAGCTGTAGTTATCTGCAGTTCATCCAGAGTGATCATGGGCCTCTTGGCTGCATCTCTGATCAGTCTTCTCCTTGTTTGAGATGAAAGTTTGGAGGGACGGCCGGGTCTTGGTAGATTTGCAGTGGTCTGATCCTCCTTCCATTTCAATATAATTGCTTGCACAGTGCTCCTTGAGATGTTTAAAGCTTGGGAAATCTTTTTGTATCCAAATCCGGCTTTAAACTTCCCCACAACAGTATCTCGGACCTGCCTGGTGTGTTCCTTTGTCTTCATGGTTCTCTCTGCGCTTTAAACAGAACCCTGAGACTAGGGGTGGGCGATATGGCCTAAAATTCATATCGCGGTATAATTTGGGACACAGACGGTAGACGGTATATATTGCGGTATAATTTGGTGTGAATTTCAATATAGGTCTAGCAGGTTCTTGCATAAAATAGTCAAGATTGTTACTTATTTATATATTAGAATCTAATATATATATTTTTTTAGTTATTCAGTGAGACGAATAAAGAGACAAATGATGTAACATACATTATTTATGTATGTTACAGTAAATACCGTTCACTGTAAAAGCAATTTTTAAAAAGAAAAACATGTGCATTCATTTAGAATATAAAAAACTCACAAATGTTGAAATCAAAGTCTGTAGGAGTTAGACATGGTCATTATTTATAGTGTCTGAGAGTTTTGTGCAGGTTCATGACTTCAGTAAAAGCTATTGTTTGTTTACAAAGCTGGTCTTGCCATTTGTTGACGCTCCCTAAGCGCTTTTCTCTGCGCTTGCAGTGAACTGGATGATTCAATGGATTTATGTTCATTAAAACAGGGCATTGGATTTGAACAATTGATGTAAATGATCATTTTGGCACAATAAATTTTGTTTAACAAAGTAGCTTTGGTGAGATATTGACCGCGGAGGTCCGAATCTGACGCTAACTTTCCCAAACTTCTGCTGTGATGCTGCTGCGGACACGGCACACGCATGGAACTATTTTGGCTCACGCTGGCGCTTCGAGCCTACGCCCCTTTGACACTGATTGGCCTAAAGGTAGACGCTTAAACTGTGATTACTGTGTGTGTATTTACCTCTGCTGGGGCCGCTGTGACAACAATACAGAGACAGAAACACGGTGTTAATGCCGTGCTGTTGTTCGTTGTTTCCAGTGGTGTCTGCTAGGCTAATAGTGCTAGGCTAATGCTGCTGAATGCCGGTTTGTTTTGGTCCTTTCTGCTGGCGTCAGAGCCTGCGAAATTTGATGACATAATGACCTATCGCAATATGCCGGTATAACAAAAATCTCTACCGTGGGCCAAATTTATATTGCATACCGCTTATACCGTTTATATCGCCCAGCCCTACCTGAGACTATCAAAGAGCAGGTGCGTTTATACGGAGACTTGATTACACACAGGTGCATTCTATTTATCATCATCAGTCATTTAGGACAACATTGGATCATTCAAAGATCCTCACTGAACTTCTGGACTGAGTTTGCTGCACTGAAAGTAAAGGGGCCCAATAATATTGCATGCCCCACTTTTCAGTTTTTTATTTGTTAAAAAAGTTTAAATCATCCAATAAATTTTGTTCTACTTCACGATTGTGTCCCACTTGTTGTTGATTCATGACAAAAAATCTATGTTTGAAGCCTGAAATGTGGCGAAATGTTGAAAGGTTCAAGGGGGCCGAATACTTTCGCAAGGCACTGTATACATGTTTGTCTAAAAAATAGGGAATAAATAAAATCAAAGTAAGTAATCTTTATTTATATACCGCCTTTGACAGACCAGAGTCTCAAAGCGGTTTACATTTGTTATTTTTCGGCACTTGTCTCTCACTAGTGTGTTTGGTTAACTCACTCAATGCCTAACAGAGGCTGACCGTCTTGAGGAGTGGATGAGGACATGTACAGTAACACTGTGCTGCTTTGTCAAAGGAATCGTTTGATTGTTATCGCAACAGTGGCTACCCTTAAAACACAAATTCTTTTATTCCCTTTAAAATTTTATTGCAAATTGAGACATACATTTTATGACCTTGACTAAAGTATTATTGGTATTATGGATGTGTGTCATTGCTCTGGTCCCTGATACGAGTATTCATCCGCCCCCTCCGTCTCATATCTGTAGTGCCTTCCCTCGCTACCCCGTGGCTCTTTGTCCTCACTACAGTGGATTCCCAGACTCCTCTGCAGTCGCTCCTCCTGCACACGCTGCTCCATGGAGTCTACCAGGTCGTAGACACTGTCCAGGGACCATAAGGGGGAGGTGAACCAGGCCTTCACATCCCCGTCCTTCCCAACCACAAGCATGCTGAAGTAGTCCTTATTGATCTTCAGCTGCTCTCTCAGGTTATTCACCGTGTCTTTGGGCAAGGGCTCCACTTTACTCTGGCTGTGGCCTAAAATGTGTGGAAACCAAAACAAGAAGTCAGGCATATCAGTAAACAATCATGTCAGGGAAACCACTTGTCGTACCATTTAATGGGAACATTTCCACAGTGCCTGTAGATTTGTCCCCTGCTCCAGTCAGCTTTAACATGGCAAAGTGTCTAATGCCTGTATAGAAAGAGATGCACTTCAAACAACCATGCTGTAACAACTTGTTAAACTAATGAAGTAAAGAGTCTGCAAAAACTCATGACATAAATTCAGCTTTAAGGAGCCTGGATTGAAGTGTTCAGGTGCTTTTCTCACCCAGTGCACACTGTTGTCTGCTGAGAGCGGAGAGCTGCTGCTGAAAAGAGTAGTCCTCTTCAGATGGAGCTGAAACTAGCAGCAGCCTCCTCTTGGACATGAACCTGCTGATCATGTGTTAATGGAATTAAATATTAAATAGTGCTGAACATATTTCAATCAAAAGTTTGATTTACAAACGTGTTTCATACCTTAGTAGAGAATTCTCCATTTCTGGTTGCTGTTTTTTTCTAACACAGGCTGGAACAGTGTTTCTCTCTATCTCTTTTTCTGGACGCCTTGATGAGAAGTTATCAATGAACTCAAACAAAGCAGGAGTCGATGGTGGAGCCTCAAAGACTCGCTAGAAATAAATAAGATAAACCACTTTTAATCAAGCGGCAATACATAAAAAAAGTAAGAAGTCTGTTAAAATACAGTGTCCTTACAGTGGGCTTGATATCATAGTCTGTGATGGTCATGGAGAACAGGTCAGAGGATGAGAGGCCAAACTCTGTGCGAAGCAGTGAAATGAGACGAGTGTCTGTGATCCGCTCTGAAGAACTCATGGGGGCACTTGACTCTGGAACAGACACTTCATTTCAATGTAAGGCTCAAGAGTTAGAACCCATTGCATTTAGATAGATGGATAGATACTAGATAGACCTTTTAGTGGCCTGAAGAGTGAGAAAAAGTGTTATTCATGATTTTCACTGGCAGGAAGCTATAATGTGACACTCTGAATTCGTTAAAAGGCCCTTTACTTCTTATAGTGTTATACTTCTGATGAGTGGGAAAAACTGTTTGGAAAGTTATTCATGATTTTCACTGGTGGGTAGCTATAATGTGACACTCTGAAATCATTCATAAGTTCATTTACTTCTGTAACTTATAATGTGAAACTAATGTTTGGTATAATGTATTTTATTATTTGTTTTAATGGTAATAATTGGCTCACAAGTGTTTAAATCCCCAAATAAAACCTCTCAAATTATAGGAATATCTAGAAAATCAACTGTAATAATTAGGGCTGTCAAAATTATTGCGTTAATGCACATTAATTAATTGTTTTCATTAATCGCGTAAAAAAAATTGACAATTGACGCATGTCCAAATGACCCGCACACGCATCCTATAATAACACTCAGAAGTGACACGGACACATGCGTGTGAGATGGCGACAGAGCAAGTAGGCATTAGTTAGCATTAGCACAACTTCTTATAAGCTGTACGCAGTGGGGACGAGTCCTGGCTCAAAAGTGGCCAAAATGACGTGCGCTGACATGCTGCAATACCACCCCGGGCCTGTGGGGGTGGACCCAGAAGAAGAATTAGCCAATGCTAACATATAGCATTGGCAGACCTCTCGAAAACGTCTTTACAGGATGGACCAAAAGTTGTCTCTTGGCCCAAAGCTCCGTTCCACATGTGTGTCAACGCTGAGGGAGTGTTCTGGACCAGTCTAGTTTAGTTGCTGTGAATTTTTGAAGTCTCTCGTTCAAATTAATGGAGCTTGCGCCGCCTGGCGCATGCGCAGATCATGGATCTATTATAATAACTGGATAGGGTGTTACAGCTTGTAGCTGAATAACTCATGTGCTCGGGGGATTCTCGCGGTACTGCAGACTGAACCAGACTGAACCAGACTGAACCAGACTAAATTCACGTGGGCTACCCAGAAATGTTCCCCATAGAACTCAATGTAAAATAAAACAGCTCGACCTCAGCTGACAGAGAACCTGACAGAGAACCTGACAGAGAACCTGACAGAGAACCTACAGCTTTAATAAAGATAGTATTTTGTGGGGATGTTAGTGTGCCTTGTCGTCCTGAACTTTTTTCTTCTTAAATCCTTTGGTTTTGTTTAAATCCACACTTTAGTGCCACAAACTCTGCTCCTCTGGCTCTGGCTCTAACTCCCGCTCTGATGAACTGCTCTGATTGGTCAGAGCCGAGCCCCTCTGTGCACGTGCATGAGACCCTCTGTGCACGTGCGTGAGACCCGGTGTGAGACCCACACACGTGTGTTTGGTGCAAAGCATTATGGGAGATCATCCACTGCACAGAACCGGGAGGACCAGACGATGCCCAAATACAGGAGAGTTTCCCATAGATCTTTGAGAGTTTCTCATAGATCTTTGAGAGTTTCCCATAGACCTTTGAGAGTTTCCATAGATCTTTGAGAGTTTCCCATAGATCTTTGAGAGTTTCCATAGATCTTTGAGAGTTTCCCATAGATCTTTGAGAGTTTCCCATAGATCTTTGAGAGTTTCTCATAGATCTTTGAGAGTTTCCCATAGATCTTTGAGAGTTTCATAGATCTTTGAGAGTTTCCATAGATCTTTGAGAGTTTCATAGATCTTTGAGAGTTTCATAGATCTTTGAGAGTTTCCATAGATCTTTGAGAGTTTCCATAGATCTTTGAGAGTTTCCATAGATCTTTGAGAGTTTCATAGATCTTTGAGAGTTTCCATAGATCTTTGAGAGTTTCCCATAGATCTTTGAGAGTTTCATAGATCTTTGAGAGTTTCCATAGATCTTTGAGAGTTTCCATAGATCTTTGAGAGTTTCCATAGATCTTTGAGAGTTTCCCATAGATCTTTGAGAGTTTCCATAGATCTTTGAGAGTTTCCCATAGATCTTTGAGAGTTTCCCATAGATCTTTGAGAGTTTCATAGATCTTTGAGAGTTTCCCATAGATCTTTGAGAGTTTCCATAGATCTTTGAGAGTTTCCCATAGATCTTTGAGAGTTTCTCATAGATCTTTGAGAGTTTCATAGATCTTTGAGAGTTTCTCATAGATCTTTGAGAGTTTCCCATAGATCTTTGAGAGTTTCCATAGATCTTTGAGAGTTTCCATAGATCTTTGAGAGTTTCTCATAGATCTTTGAGAGTTTCCCATAGATCTTTGAGAGTTTCCATAGATCTTTGAGAGTTTCATAGATCTTTGAGAGTTTCTCATAGATCTTTGAGAGTTTCCCATAGATCTTTGAGAGTTTCCCATAGATCTTTGAGAGTTTCCCATAGATCTTTGAGAGTTTCCCATAGATCTTTGAGAGTTTCCCATAGATCTTTGAGAGTTTCTCATAGATCTTTGAGAGTTTCCCATAGATCTTTGAGAGTTTCCCATAGATCTTTGAGAGTTTCCCATAGATCTTTGAGAGTTTCCCATAGATCTTTGAGAGTTTCCCATAGATCTTTGAGAGTTTCCCATAGATCTTTGAGAGTTTCTCATAGATCTTTGAGAGTTTCCCATAGATCTTTGAGAGTTTCTCATAGATCTTTGAGAGTTTCCCATAGATCTTTGAGAGTTTCTCATAGATCTTTGAGAGTTTCCCATAGATCTTTGAGAGTTTCCCATAGATCTTTGAGAGTTTCTCATAGATCTTTGAGAGTTTCCCATAGATCTTTGAGAGTTAGATCTTTGAGAGTTTCCCATAGATCTTTGAGAGTTTCCCATAGATCTTTGAGAGTTTCCCATAGATCTTTGAGAGTTTCCCATAGATCTTTGAGAGTTTCCCATAGATCTTTGAGAGTTTCCCATAGATCTTTGCGAGTTTCAGGCGACTTCCGCTAATCTTTCAGCGCCCATGCCGTCACAAAGTGCCACTGAGCACAACCATTAATTTGAATAGGGCGTCATCTTGGATCAACAACAAGAACTAAAAAAGCATTTTAACTTAAGACAAAATGAACCTTTTTGAATCATTACATCGTATCCTCTGGAGAGACTAATCTATGGGAGAGACCTGCGGGAGCGGGACCACCTCGGACTATCTACGCTCGGACTACATTTGGACGCGGAACTAGCGGTAATCTTTCAGTTATATATTTTGTTAGCAGTGCATTTGTGGCGTCAAAATAGGGTCTGCTTAAACGTAACCGTAAAGCAGGACTTGTAAACGTAGGTTGTAAGTATATAAAACATAAAAATATATTGTAAATGAAAAAACGTTACATTTACGCTTCCAATTTTTCATGTTTCGCTTCATGAGTTAAATTTACGATTTACATCTGAATCTGAAATGTTCTGAGCCATATTTTTTGTGTGGTTTTCAAGCTCCACTAAAGCAGACCTGCAGGTCCTCCAGCAGGTGGTGCAAGCAGCGTAGAGAATCATTGGGACTACTCTTCCACAGATTAGTTAGTAAGATAGTAATCTACACCACATGCTGCGCCTCATCTAGCCCTCAGCCAGAAGGTTCTGGTGCATACAGGCCCAAACATCAAGACTGTCAAAAAGCTGTCCTCGAAATGTAATATTTCTCTTCACTATCGCCGAACTGCCCTCCTCGCTTGGAAAAGAACCATATCCACCAACATTTGCCCCAAACTGGACTTTGCAGCACTGCATTCAGTCTGTCACCATCTCCACAAACAGCGTCTGTTGCTGTGCTGCTCATTCTGGTCTCTCTGGACTTTGCGTTGTTTATTCTGTCTCTATCTCAGCGTTTCTGTGTGGCTGTTGCACGGATGCCAAGAAATAATATGTATTCATTATTTTATTTTTATATTTAAATTGATGGGGATTCTAGGATAGCTATGTGACAAAAGCTATCATAGATACATTGAATTGAATAGCATTTTTCAGAGAAGAAATCCATACAAACTAATGATTACATTTTACCTCCGGTGTCTTTAACGTTCTAAGTGTGTGACCTGGGGGTGGTAGAAGATGAGCCTCATTTTGTTTTGTATTGTCCACTTTACTTTGAATATCGAAACATTTTATTTGAAAAAGTGAATGCTTCTAACCCAGAGGTTTTTTGGTGGCCTGAGGGAGAAATTATGAACTGGATGTACTGCCATTAAGTTTTTGCCTTTGCTTCTTTTGTTGCTAAAGCCTGAGAGAGGAGACAACAGATTCTGTACCCTGGATAATGCACCACATTGTAAATCTTTTTCTGTTTTTCATGTCTGTATATGGTCTGTATATGGTCTGTAGCCATCAGATGTTGTTGTTCAGTGTCATATAAGCCCATGTGGGCTGGGCACTTTTGTGCATGACACTTAAATAAATAAACTCAAACTCAACTCTAAGTATCCGTATGTGTCATGGTTTGTGTACAGCTCCAAATTGCTTGTGCCATTTTAACTAGGCCTACAGATTCATATTATTTATTATGTATCTTCTTACTGGTATATATGATTTTATATGAATGTAAATGCAAATAATTTGTTTTTGTATTTTGTAAACATGGAAAACCCACTTCTGCTCAAAACAAATAAACAAAACTGTTTTGCAGCACAATCAAAATGCACAGATCAAGCTTCTTTACCAGCGTTGGAATGCTCGAGGGTGAGCGTGGCATCATCTCCTTGCCCCACTATTGTTGCCACACTGATCTTCCTGATGGCAAGGTCACACTGATGCTTCTCGTTTTCCTCTTTCAGTTGGGTCAACAGTTTGGCATCTTGACTTGGGGAAGAAATAATCTGTGAAACAAACACGATCTGTAATAAGCAAACACGGAAAAGTAAATGTTGAAAACTCACCATGAGTCGTCTCGTTCCCTTCAAAGCATTCACAAAGTCTTTCAGTATCGCACGGTCTCTGTCGCTCACTTCTCTGATCGACGTTCTCCCTCTGCCTTTCTTCTTGCCCTTCTTTCCTTTGCCCTTTTTCTTTGAACTTGCTTTCTCATTATTGTTTGCATTCATTTCATGCAAAATGTTCTTGTCTTCTGTGGGATTCATTGCAACTACTTTATCCGTTCTGTCGAGATACACAGAAATGAGTGACAAGCTGCATTCAGACAACAAATAGCAAGATTGGCATATAACCTCAAATAATAATGGGCCTCATTTATGAAATTAGCATAAAAACCATTTCCAGGTCAAGTGCAGGAGAAGGAAAAAGACCTATTTCCTGCTGGGACTCTGAGGAGCACAGGGACTGGCCTCCTGCTGGGACTCTGAGGAGCACAGGGACTGGACTCCTGCTGGGACTCTGAGGAGCACAGGGACTGGACTCCTGCTGGGACTCTGAGGAGCACAGGGACTGGACTCCTGCTGGGACTCTGAGGAGCACAGGGACTGGACTCCTGCTGGGACTCTGAGGAGCACAGGGACTGGACTCCTGCTGGGACTCTGAGGAGCACAGGGACTGGACTCCTGCTGGGACTCTGAGGAGCACAGGGACTGGACTCCTGCTGGGACTCTGAGGAGCACAGGGACTGGACTCCTGCTGGGACTCTGAGGAGCACAGGGACTGGACTCCTGCTGGGACTCTGAGGAGCACAGGGACTGGACTCCTGCTGGGACTCTGAGGAGCACAGGGACTGGACTCCTGCTGGGACTCTGAGGAGCACAGGGACTGGACTCCTGTTAGTGCCCAGAGTCAGAACTAAACATGGGGAGGCTGCTTTTCAGATTCATGCTGCTAAAATCTGGAACAGTCTTCCTGAAGATGTGAGACAGGCCTCCTCTCTGACAATGTTTAAAACCAGGTTAAAGACAGTTCTGTTTAGCTGTGCTACAACTGAGGGATTTATATTTGTATCTTTCTTTTTAAAAAGATAAAAGGGCGGCACGGTGGCTGAGTGGATAGCACTCTCGCCTCTCAGCAAGAAGGTCCTGGGTTCGAATCCCGGTTGGACCAGGGCCTTTCTGAGTGGAGTTTGCATGTTCTCCCCGTGTCTGCGTAGGTTTCCTCCGGGTGCTCCGGTTTCCCCTACCACTAAAAATATGTACAATAGGTCTCGCATGCGCCTCCTGTACTGGCCCCGCTCCCAAAAATAACAATTGTAAAACGCTTTGAGACTCTGATGTGCAGTGAAAAGGCGGTATATAAATAAAAGATTACTTACTTACTTACTTAATGTTCTGTGATTATTTATGATTTTAATGCTTTCTTATTTTGTTCAGCACTTTGAGTTGCCTTATGTATGAATTGTGCTATATAAATAAACTTGCCTTGCCTAATTACTTCCTTCATCACACTTTTGTTACAGGATCAAATAAGAAAATAATTCTGAGTGGAGTTTCCACTAGGTTTCCTCCGGGTGCTCTGGTTTCCCCGACCACTAAAAATGTGTACAGTAGTTAGAATCCTGCAGCGCTGGTCCTGACCAAGCCGAGTAATATCATCTGAGAGGGCTTCCCGGGTGCTGTACTACGGCGACCACTGCTCCTGACGGAAGCCTTAGTAGCATCAGGATGGGTCAAATGCAGAGGACAAATTTCCCTACGGGGACAACAAAGTGCACATTTACATTTAAATCTGTACCGTCAGTGTGTGAAAAAACGGTTCCTTGAACAGGATCCTGAAGATCCTGAGGTTCCCAGGAGCAGACTTCTCAACTTTTCAATAGCCTCCAACTTCAACGTGGAGAAGTTTCTGAACTGTTGCGTTAAGATGTTGGATTTATTAAGATATGGTTAAAACGCTAATATTGGCCATAGCATTTTAACCATATACTAATCAGCATTATAACCATGTATCTCTAATCTTTCTGGGGTGTGATCTGTGCCAAGATCACTTTGGACACTTGTCATTTTGTGTATGTTTTAGAATCTTTTCATTAAGATTTGTATGCATGCCTGGAGTGGCTTTTAGATCCATTCTAATATGAAGAACAGGCCCGATCTGATCTCACCAAGTAACTACCAGTCCAGGATCCTAGACTCATAAGCCTTACCTTTCCCTTTGCCTTAACCCTGACCATAGTAATCCCTAAACTTTACCCTAGCCCTACTTTGGCCCTAACTGACCTGATTAAACATGACTTGTTGTTGATATCAGATTATGCTGCACAGACAGGTAACTCCACCCCTTTCAAAAGCTCCTGCCTCAGTTCTGTGATTGGATGATGTCGTTGCACCACTTTGACATCAATATATTTTCTTATTCTGTTACTGTTGTGCCATAAGCCAGATCCAATTTGGTGAATTCCCCGTTTACTGACAATGGACATAACACGATTCTGATTCAGTTTTTGTTTGACGTTAAAGTTTCAAAAACGAGGCCCATTCTTTTTTGTGCCACAAACTCTTCACTTTTAGGATAATATAAAACAAAGGATTATGTGAAGTACCTTTCCTCCTGGCTCGATATAACTGAAGCTCGACTGTCTGTTTGTTTTACAGACCCATTTTTCTCTCCTGGTGTCTGTTGCTGTGTGGACAAAGGCTCTTTACGAATGACATATCTGTAGCGCCCATTCAATATGTCCTGAATCTTGTTCTTGAGAGCCTCTTTTTTGTCTAGTGCAGGTTTTCTTCGTGGTGCGAGCACTGACGTTACGTTTCCACGCCTCTGGAAATTGAGCACCGTTTTTTCCTTCTTCCTTTTCATCATAACTTTCTTCTTTTTGATAATACAACTATACAAAAAAAGTGTCAGTGAAAAATTACGTTACAAAAATTACGAGCATAATGCAAAGTATAACGTTTTTTTATTTGGTCTTTAGCGAAACATGCTGTGGAAGTGGGCAGCATGGCGCCTTTGCTTTCCCTCACAGTGGTCTATAGAATGCTCCAGGATCCATTTGTTGCAGGTTTTATGGTGAGGGGTGTGTCAGCAGAAAACCTTCCAAACAATCACTAGCATTATAGTAGCCTGGCCTTATCCATCCGTACACTCCGCTCAATCATCATTTCACTGCATGTAGCGTCTGGGTCTGGTCCCTGTGTTAGCGATTACAATCGGTCGTATTTCAACCGGGTACTCAGAGAGCGCGGAAGGCGGGTGTTGTAGGTCGGTGCCGGTGACGTCAAGAGTTTGCGTCGAACGGGCAGGTTGTAGTTTGGCAATGGCGAAGAATGTGATAGTAAAGTAATCCGGTCTGGTTCTATCAAGAAATTGAAGCCGGAGAAAGAGGAATGTTTAGCAAATGTAATTGCTGGTCAAGATTGTGGCGCTACTCCCCACGGGCTCCGTTAGCGGCAAAGGAGATGGCTAAAGCTAGGCTAAATGCTAACAACAGACTCGGGCGCACTACATACGTGACGGTAAACTCAGATCCAATGGTTTCAATCTGCAAAAGGAGTTAGCCCCTCCCACCTGTTCACGGAGTCAATGGAGCAGATCCAGACCTTAGTATGAAATGTAATTTGTACTATGGTGTGGTACGACCAGGCTAGCATTATGGAGACTTCTGTGACAGAAAGTAAAGGCGCGGTGCTTCTGTGATCACATAACAATTATATTAACTTGCACAAAGCTCTAACTATAGTGCTCACCTCACTCTTCTCCTGGTCATCTTTTCCAGCTTTCTCTTTGGCAATTGATCTATTATTTCGAGAATGGCTTCAACACGGACTGGAATAGAAAAGCGATCACTTATTCTTAGGTTCTTTTTAATCACCAGCATCATGAACTCATCCTGAAAGAAAGGAAAATAAATTATGAATCATTGTGTTTACATTTCTGGTCTGTCTTTTTGCTTCTCTTACATATCCGGTAAGTTCCAGGTAATGCAGCAGTCTGCTCACGGTGTCTGGGTCCAGCGTTTCCCATGAAGCCTGACTGTGCATGGTGGTCTTCAGTATTCTACCTTCCATCATGGCATTTTGAATTATTATTATAATATAAGTGTCTCTCTTCGCAAGATGACAGTTCAAACCTGCCTGACCATACACATCATTTTCATTCAATTAGTATGGTTTTAATCACAAGTACTGGTCTTCATTTGATCATGTTTGACAAAAAGGATTCATGAGAGTCACTGGTTGATTTTCTACTCCTGGGCAACAAATACAAGACATGATGTAATATTTTGATTTTAAATTACATCTACAGTATTATGTTCTTTGGATGCTGCTTAAGCCAGTACATGTCCAGGACAGTCTGAAGAGAGCTTTTTTGTATTGTTCAGAAGAGGATTGGTCCTAAACCAAAATATAACCTTTTGGTAAAAGCTCAACAAAAAACGTTGAATTTCATCCAAAGAACACCATACCTACTGTGAATCATGGGGGTGAAAACATCATGCTTTGGGGCTGTTTTTTCTGCAAAAGAACCAGGATTGACCCGTGAGATTTTGCGTGAAAACTTTTCATCAGCAAAGACATTAAAGATGAAACATGGCTGGGCCTTTTTCTACAACAACGATCCCAAACACACTGCCCAGGCCACGAAGGATAGCTTTGTAAGAAGCATTTCAAGGTTCTGGTGTGGCCTTTCCAGCTTTCAGATCTTGACTCCATAGAGAATTTTTTAGGGAAAATGCAAGTCTGTGTTGCCCAGCGACAGTGCCCCAAAACATCACAGCTGGAGGAAGACTTACAAAACAAGTTTGACCTCTGTCGTATTTAACAGTGTCCCCAGATAAGTCAATAATCATATTTGAGCTTTTCTGAAAAAAAGCTTAGAAAATTTGTTTTTATTCTTCTTTATTAGAACAAGATTATCCAATCAGAGAGAAGACTTTCATTTGGGTGTCCAGTTTGATTGGTGAAATTTAGCTGGTCTTGGCTCAATCTTTTTATTCTTAAAAATACATCTATTCTATGATTCACACACAAAAATAACAACAAACTTATTTCAATGAAACAGACACAAAAATATGTTAAATATGTTATAAACAGTTTGTACGGTTTCTAGCTGGACCCCAATCAGTGGATTGCATCAGTAATCAGTGCGTGGCTTTGTGTTATAGGCAGGAAGCTGGATTATAATATCAATGACTTTATTAGATGACTAAGATTCGTCCATAATGCAAAATCAGATTTAAACTTATTTGAAATACAATACAAACTCAACTCATAACGAATTACTTATTACTTATAATCAAGTCTGTCTGAAGTGACTTTGCTAATGATTTTCAGAGCTTAGATTTCCATATTCTTGGGTTTCATGAACCTGACCTGTGGGGGGCGAAGGAGCAGAGATGACAACTCAGTTTTCTCCCATTGAAATCCATTTAAATCTTGTCAAAAGAGTCAAAGGCTCCCCTCCTGTGCGGTGTACGGTGGTTGTAACAGTCTTAATCGGGGACACTCAATTCTGAGGGAGTACTAAAAAATATTTCCCAAAAGAGTCTTAATTTCGCACATTTTTGGAAAAAATAACAGAAGAAATTGCTACGTTTCATTTGGGTGGCCTGCAGGGGGCGCTTATCTGGGAAAGCCTGTTCACAACATAGCACATTGGAAGAAAGTGAGTATTACAAAGGGCTAACTCGATATCGCACACGAGATATGACCGTATAGTTTGGCAAAGTCTGAGTTTCAATACAGAATGCAAGTGGCCAAAATGACGTGCGCTGACATGCTGCAATACCACCCCGGGCCTGTGGGGGTGGACCCAGAAGAAGGATTAGCCAATGCTAACATATAGCATTGGCAGACCTCTGGAAAACGTCTTTGCAGGATGGACCAAAAGTTGGCTCTTGGCCCAAAGCTCCGTTCCACATGTGTGTCAATGCTGAGGGGGGTGGATTGTTTTTGGTCCACTCTAGTTTAGTCGCTGTGAATTTTTGAAGTCTCTCGTTCAAATAAATGGAGCTGCGCCGGCTGACGCATGCACAAATGCGTTTATTAACACATTTCTTGTGGGCGGGACCACTCGCGGCCATTTTGGATAGCTCCAGTAGAGCAAATTTTTTGGCCCATTAGTTAGAACGGCGGAGATAGGCGTGACTCTGTCCGTTAATATATACAGTCTATGGTTTGTCCCTGTGTTTCTTTCGCATCACCTCCTGTGTTGATCCTGAGTCCATCGCAACAGGGAATGTGTGACTGGTTTTGTGAAACCTGAAGATCAGACTTTACAGGTTACTGTAATAAATCCAAGTAACTTGTAATTGCCTTTGCCTCATTATGATTAAACGAACCTGTGCGACTTAGTGCGCTTTTTATTTTATTTTGGGCACCCTTGCCCTGGCGTTGTTGGTCCTTTTTCTTTATTTTCTTTAATTGTTTTATATTTTATATATAACAATATATATATAACTTGCTACATGATACATGGGTATGATATCAAACATACAAGATACAAGATATTTTTATTTATCAAAATTGATTTATCGCTTAGTCCAAGTCAAATTCGAAACTGTGTCATTTATGTTTAAGATACAATACTATATCTCTGTGTATAAACCCAGCAGACTGCACCACCAGGTCCGGTCCGGTCCGGTCCCATGTCATTCGTGCCACTGCCCCGAGGTCAAATGAAACCCAAGAATGAATGGGTACTGACACCGTTCCAGTTGAGAACCGCTGCTATAGTCATTGAATTAATTTTAAATATTTCTATCATGTCCGGGATATTTCATACTTTCAATCGGCAACAGATCTCACGAAAAGTGTAGTGCTTTATCAAAATCACCTGTTCCATGTCGTCCAGCTGTTTTTCCATCATGCGCAGATAGTTGTCATTAGGGGAGGAGGCTGTTATAACCCAGAGCCTATTTTTGCCTTCAACAGTACAACTCAACATAAGAAATACAATCAGAAAGAGACTTGTAAATGTGTTTGTTTTACCTGCAAATTCCACCAGAAAGTTCAGCTCTGGTGCAAGAGTTGGCATTGGCTCTGCTTTTGTTTTCTCATGGTGTTGATCTTCTTCCAGTCCAAGCCCCAGTTCAAGTCCAGTGGGTAGATCTGAATAGTCTCCCCAGTCTCGTACGTTTGGATCAGAATACTTTGACTTGCTTTGACCAACTCCCGGCCAAGGATGCACCCCATTCCAAAAAGATAACACGAAAACAAGCTTGTGAAGAAGAGGCATCCTTAAGTTGATTGTCGTATCAAATGCTGGTTCAAGCGTCCATATCCACATTTGCAATTTAACTTAAAGGTTGTTGGTTTAAAATTGCACATATGATTTCAGCATTATACAATCCATGAAAGGCATTTGGTCTTCAATACTGTGCAGTCTCCTCACACACTGAGAAAGACAGAGAGCTTTCTCTCCTCATAAGCTCCTGGTTTGCATTATACCCCTGCCTAGTCGTTAACAAGAAACTCCTGGAATTTGCTCTGACTTCAAAGCTACTCCCACCCAGGTCACTCCCACAGATAAAAACGCAGTCTTTGTTTCGACAGGTGGCACAGCATTGTTCATCAGGTTTTTGATGCAGGATAATTGTACTGAGGCCAGGGCACTGAGGGCACCGCATGGAACTCAGTCAGTGTTTAAATATACAGTATTAGAGTGTTAGTATTAGATAGCAATATGGCCTACGTGCAGAACTGTACAAGGACTCTGAAGATGACTCCATGTTTTGACTCTGAAGTGACTGTCTCTGTGTGACACGTCTTTCGATGTGTGACGTGATAATGACTATATAAACTGTGTACTGCCTTTATTCTGTCTGAGAGAAAGAAACAATTGAAACAACTGGAACTTGAGAAAAACATAAATAAACTTCCAGAGTTTGGCGCACCACAAAAAAAAAAAAAAAAAAAAAAAACAAGTCTTCTGTTCTGTAGATGTTACAGACAAGGCCCGCATCCTTCCACCACCTGAAGAAGATGACATGTCTGGGATCGCGTCTTTCATTCAGACAGAATAAAGGCAGTACACAGTTTATATAGTCATTGTCACGTCACACATCGAAAGACGTGTCACACAGAGAGAGTCACATCAGAGTCAAAATATGGAGTCATCTTCAGAGTCTTTGTATAGTTCTGCACGTAGGCCATATTGCTATCTAATACTAACAAGAGTTACAAGCAGCTGTTGTCTATATGTACATGTTTCACACTTTAAACATCCATCCATCCATTTTCTTCCCCTTAATCCATTTCTGGGTCGGGGGGTGGCAGTCAGAGCTGCACCCAGTCACAGAGCACCAGCCCCTCACTGATCCTCCTGCAGGAGCTGAGTCCACAGGAGCTGAGATCTTTCAGTGGGGGCTTCAGGCAAAGTGGGGTTAAGTGTCTTGCCCAAGGACACAACAACAGCAGTCATCAGTGGGAGTCGTGAAGTAGGTCTTATGGTGGGCTCGAACCCACGACCTTCAGGCTCTAAGCCCAATGCTCTACCAACTGAGCTACTGTCGCCCCCAGTTTAAACATATTAGTTACAGTGCCTTGCGAAACTATTCGGCCCCCTTGAACCTTTCAACATTTCACCACATTTCAGGCTTCAAACATAAATATATATAATTTTATTTTTTTGTCATGGATCAACAACAAGTGGGACACAATTGTGAAGTGGAACGAAATTTATTGGATAACTTAAACTTTTTTAACAAATAAAAAACTGAAAAGTGGGGCGTGCAATATTATTCGGCCCCTTTACCTTCAGTGCAGCAAACTCCCTCCAGAAGTTCAGTGAGGATCTTTGAATGATCCAATGTTGTCCTAAATGACTGATGATGATAAATAGAATGCACCTGTGTGTAATCAAGTCTCCGTATAAATGCACCTGCTCTTTGATAGTCTCAGGGTTCTGTTTAAAGCACAGAGAGAACCATGAAGACAAAGGAACACACCAGGCAGGTCCGAGATACTGTTGTGGAGAAGTTTAAAGCCGGATTTGGATACAAAAAGATTTCCCAAGCTTTAAACATCTCAAGGAGCACTGTGCAAGCAATTATATTGAAATGGAAGGAGTATCAGACCACTGCAAATCTACCAAGACCCGGCCGTCCCTCCAAACTTTCATCAGAGAAGACTGATCAGAGATGCAGCCAAGAGGCCCATGATCACTCTGGATGAACTGCAGATAACTACAGCTGAGGTGGGAGAGTCTGTCCATAGGACAACAATCAGTCGTGCACTGCACAAATCTGGCCTTTATGGAAGAGTGGCAAGAAGAAAGCCATTTCTCAAAGATATCCATAAAAAGTCTTGTTTAAAGTTTGCCACAAGCCACCTGGGAGACACACCAAACATGTGGAAGAAGGTGTTCTGGTCAGATGAAACCAAAATCGAACTTTTTGGCCACAATGCAAAACGATATGTTTGGCGCAAAAGCAACACAGCTCATCACCCTGAACACACCATCCCCACTGTCAAACATGGGGGTGGCAGCATCATGCTTTGGGCCTGCTTTTCTTCAGCAGGGACAGGGAAGATGGCTAAAATTGATGGGAAGATGGATGGAGCCAAATACAGGACCATTCTGGAAGAAAACCTGTTGGAGTCTGCTAAAGAGCTGAGACTGGGACGGAGATTTATCTTCCAACAGGACAATGATCCAAAACATAAAGCCAAATCTACAATGGAATGGTTCACAAATAGACGTATCCAGGTGTTAGAATGGCCAAGTCAAAGTCCAGACCTGAATCCAATCGAGAATCTGTGGAAAGAGCTGAAGACTGCTGTTCACAAACGCTCTCCATCCAACCTCACTGAGCTCGAGCTGTTTTGCAAGGAAGAATGGGCAAGAATTCCAGTCTCTCCATGTGCAAAACTGATAGAGACATACCCCAAGCGAGTTGAAGCTGTAATTACAGCAAAAGGTGGCGCTACAAAGTATTAGCGCAAGGGGGCCGAATAATATTGCACGCCCCACTTTTCAGTTTTTTATTTGTTAAAAAAGTTTAAATTATCCAATAAATTTCGTTCCACTTCACGATTGTGTCCCACTTGTTGTTGATTCTTGACAAAAAATTAAATTTTTATATCTTTATGTTTGAAGCCTGAAATGTGGCGAAATGTTGAAAGGTTCAAGGGGGCCGAATACTTTCGCAAGGCACTGTATATATAGCAATTATGAGTTGATGTGAAAGGTTCACAGCAGTTCACAGTTTTGTAAAAAGACAACAATAACCTTTTGTAAATCTTTTGTATGATACTGGAACATTCTCAGTGTATTCGCTCTGCAAATGCACGTGTTTATGGGGATGTTGATAATGAATGTGGCAGTGTGATTACAAAGTGCAGTGCCCGCGGTGAGGCCCCTTGCCCCACGATGTGTGCCTCCCTGGCATTGTTGCGGTGTGTGTGTGTCGCCATGTCTAAACGTGGTGACGTGGTTGCCCGGCCTGAGCTGTTTTTGGGGAGGATTTGTTGGGGACTGCTGCCTTACGTTTGCCTTTCTCCCGCCTTTGTCGCCTGTCTCTGTGACTGTAACTAACTTAACTAAATTGGTGAAACTGAACAACAACAACAAACTAAATTGTGAACTCATTAAATGTATTAATTTCATATTTAAAAGGTACAAATAAATGTACTCATGAGGAAACAGAACATTGCCTATTTGTCAACACCTGTGTGTTCCTTTGCACTGGTTTAACTGGACTGTCATGACCAATAATGTTTTTATTCTGTGGTCCCCTTAACTTGCACTGTCCCAGGTCTAGATTAAAGACCAGAGGAGACCGAGCCTTTGCTGTGGCAGGGCCTAAACTCTGGAACGCTCTCCCTTACTGTATTAGAGCTGCCCCCTCTGTAGAGAGCTAACCCTCTGTAGAGAGCTTTAAATCGCAGCTAAAAACACATTTCTTTGCTTTGGCTTTTTAACACAAGCAATGTTGAAACATTTATGATAGTGTCCTGCATTTTATTTTTATGCTGTATCTTATCCGTGTGTTGTATTTTATAATGTCTGGTAAGCACTTTGTGACAGTGCTGTTTAAAATGTGATATATAAATAAACTTGACCTTGACTTGCCGCACTTACATCGAGGTTAATTTTGTCAAAAGGTGAAACAGTAACATTATTCATAACACACTTAGCTTTAAAAATATATACACGTATTTACTGTAAATGCATGTTTGGTACATCTGAACTGCAATTCCGGATCAGACAAACGAACTCAAAACCTTACAAAAGTGAGTTAGCTGAAGGCATAAATGAGAGACAGATGTAGTGTGCATTCCAAGCACTGCCTCGATAAGGAGAAACACATGATCAGTGTGGATCTAAAGTGTGTGTATCTGGTATGTGAGATCCACATGTTTTTAATTTAGAGTCAGTAATATGCACAGTTGTCTCCTATATTGGGTTTGTCATTTAGAAATAACCTATGGATAGAGCTGTGACTGTGTGAAAACATGTATCCAAATGTAAATTATCATTGTTTTTATTCCCTCATGTATCCTTTGAAATACTGTACAAATTACTGCTTGTGTCTGGTTCTTCAGTCCTAGCGCAGGTTGTGAGCGACTTAAAGTGACTTATTGTACAGTCTGACAGCAGTGGGGATGAAGGCCCTGCACTAGGGGGCCTCAGTCTTCCACTGAAGGAGCTCCTCTACAGTCCTGTGCAGTGGGAGGTGTTGTTCATGATGGAGGTGACTTTGGCTAGCACCCTCCTGTCCCTCACCTCCTCCACAGAGTCCAGGGGCCTCCTGTCCCTCACCTCCTCCACAGAGTCCAGGGGCCTCCTGTCCCTCACCTCCTCGACAGAGTCCAGGGGCAGCCCAGAGCAGAGCTGGCCCTCCTGACCTGTTTGTTGATGATACAAACGTTTATGATGAATACTGTGAGACAGTGATGGTAATATTATCTCACTTATGAGCAGGAGCTTGTCTGCATCTCTGATCAGTCTTCTCCTTGTTTGAGATGAAAGTTTGGAGGGACGGCCGGGTCTTGGTAGATTTGCAGTGGTCTGATACTCCTTCCATTTCAATA